TATAGCCAAGGTTGCACCTGCTCAGCATCGTTGGCCGACTGGAGTTCCCCGCGGGCCTTCTGGATCACAAGTGCCTCGGACAAATTTCTACAACATGTCAGCTACATGCTTTAATTTAAATTTGCCGCTGGAGCACTTGCTCTGCAACATCCTGCTTCATCGCCTTGAGGAGGTTCTTCGCCCTTAGCTTGCGCAAGTATCATATCATGATCGTAGATAGCTAGGAGACCACGCACACTGTACGATGTAACTAGTCCAAGGCACTCTCCTTCGGTGGTGGCCTTGTCTGACTCCACTTTCGAAGCTAACTTGATCTTGTCAGTGGCCTTGTCAATGGCCTGGATCCAGGGTCTTATCCCAGGGGTATGTGTAGGCGTATATTATAAACCCATATACTAATTATAAACCCTATATAATATAAACCCTAATAAACCCTAATTAAAACCAACTAGCAAATTTAGGTACGAAGAGTATTGCAAGACACCTTCTTTGCTTTAGCCTTTGTTTCCTTTGCAGCTTTCACTGCTTCCTCATCCTCCGTCAAGGCTTTCTTCCCCTTGGCTGCGGCTTTGGTCTTCGCCTTCGCTTTCGCTTTTGCTTTGCTTTTCTTGGGGCTTTTTTTCTTTTTCTTGTCCTTGCTGGACCTTGCCTTTGCTTTTCTTTTCGACACTTTCGGCGAAGGGGTTGGCTTAGCCTCACACTCATCATCATCATCATCATCATCATCGCTGTCATCTGTTGACGTGCTGCCTTCCCCCTCGGCTTCAAACACATTTTCCAGCTCCTCCTCATCCACATTCTCCTCGGTGTCGTCGTGGAGGCACAGGTACTGCAGCATATCCTGGCAGCACACGCACGGATCGTAGCTGGTACCTAGGGAGGGGATGGGGTTTATAGTTGTGAGTTGCGGGGTCTGAAAATTCCTGATGGCAACCCATATATTAAACCCATTATAAGTTATAAACCCTCCTTGTATTATATTAGAAACCCAGCCCATGCAGTAAAATTCCTGATGGCAACCCTATATTGTATAATTAAACCCTATTATATTTATAAACCCTATAATATACCCTCCTTATAATATATTATCATTAAAAACCCAGCCCACACAGTCCTCCCGGCCCGGCATCTCAGGATGCTTTCGGATCTCCGCCAGGCTTCTCTCAGGATCTGCCTCTTTGCTCTCCTTCATAGCCGTTGCCACCTCCGTTCCCCACTTGCTGCACATCTCACTGAACAGCATCCAGCGTCGAAGGCCGGCTTTTCGGTTCTTTTTGCTGGACCGGAGCCGGATCAGCAACCTTGACTTCTGCCAATTCTCATTGGCAGTAAGCCAATGCTCGAACAGCACGGAACGCTGGCTCGAGTTGGACTTTGCTTTCTCCGCCAGCTTCACAATCTCCTTCGGGCAGTGCGGACCTGGGCTAGGGGCAAAATTTCTTGGACAAATTTGGTTTCGTGGGAAAACGTACAATCATGCAATGGGGTCTCGATCATGATCAGGAATTCCCATGTTAGTAATAAATTATATTATAATTTACAATTGTATTATTATTATTACTGATTGTCTACTCCGATTGCAAATCTAGTGGCTCACGAGGCTACGGTAGAAGCGCATATTTCGCGCGTGCAAGCGCTTTCTTCTTGCCGCCTTTTCCGCCTTTTCTTTGCTCATTTCCTTTTCCTGGCCAGTTTGCTCATCTGCAGCCGGGGTTGGTATCTCCTGGTTGGATCCGAAGGTTTTGCTATGCTCGTTCGTGCTATCCTCAGCTGCCTTCTGCTTCTCTCCTTTCTCATTGTTGCCTGCAGCTGTAGCTTGCTTGATGTCTTGCTGCTTGTCAGATGCCTTGCGCGAGGCCTGGCACCTGTCAATGTCTTCGACCACCTGCTGGAGCTGCTCACTTGTGAGGTGGTCAACAGTTTGGCCCCTCTGCAGCAGGCTTTGCAGCGTTGGCATGCCATGCGGGGTTGACATGTCAACTTTGGGGGAATCTCTATTCCACCAATCATACGCTTGTCCCCACCATCCTCCACCTTGCCCATGGCTAGACCAGGATGAGGAGTCCCAAGAATCCCCACCCCAACGATCCCATGAACTGCCGCTCCAACCCCAATCATTCCACGCATCGCCACCTCCTGAGGCTGTCCCTGGGCAGCTGCTTTCACGCTCATCCGGATCCTGGCAGGGGAAAGACGCTAGGGCCGCTGGGGTCAACCCAAAAAACGAGTATAATTATGTCGCATAGAATATATTGATCAAATCCTATCTAGATAGGGATAATAAAATATTTCAGCCATGAGGTTGCACATGATCACATTTTGCTGCCTGCGTGCTGCAAGCATACTTGGAGGATTATATCGTACAGGGCCGGAGATTTAAGTTATAACTAGATATATATATATATATCATATATATATATAATCACTAGCTAGTGGGACCCAAGTATTATCGCCATGATATATAACGCCTCTGTATAGCTATAATATATATATATATACTTACGTATACTTCCGTTCGTTGAAATATACCCCTTATACTGAAGCGAAGCTGAGAATTGAAGCCGATGATTATTATGTACATGTATGAACTGCTTGGAATCTGAGGTTACTTGGAGTTCTACAGGCGACGCGGGATGATCCAATGGTGCACGCAAGGACTTTCCAGTGTAGCCCGTTTATGCAAACTAATTAGCATAAATTAGGGTTGATAAAGGGTTTGGAGTGGTTATTATAGGGAATATTCATGTGATCAAGGTTTCAGGTTATAGGCTTATAAGGGTTTAGGCCAATTTATATCTGGGATAATGAGCACATGTATATTACAAGTATAACTAGCACCCCACAATAATTATTAAATACCCTTTTAGATATCTGTCCTGGCCAGCACTCTTGTCCACAGGGCTTCGGCAAAGTCTTCGCCTTTTCCCCGTAGATTTCGGACTCTTCTTGGCATTCTTATACGGGGTCTGCACAGGCTGGGTCTGCGTAGACAGGTCAGGAGCTTCGTTGTTCGCACCAGGGATGCTTTTCAGGTCACTGCTAGAGGTCTTCGGGGAGCCTTCTGGATGACTGGTGGTCTTCCGGGAGCCTTCTGGATGACTGGTGGTCTTTGGGGAGCCTTCTGGATGACTGGTGGTCTTCGGGGGGCCTTCTGGATGACTGGTGGTCTTCGGGGAGCCTTTTGGATGACTGCTGGTGTTCGGGGAGGCTTTCTCAGCACTGCTCTTCGGGGAGCTTTTCAGGTCACTGCTCTTTGGGGAGCCTTTCAGGTCATTGTTTCCCTCTGCAACATCATCCCGCATGGTAGGCAGGGACTCATAGGCTTGGGTCTCCTCCTCCTGCAAGGTGTCTCCAGCCTCTAGCAGCCTTTGCTTCTTCCTGCTGTTCGGGGTGCGTACAGCCAACGCTGGACGTGGGCTTTGGATTTCAGCCTTCACATGTACATCGGCGGGCCTTTCACTTTTCACCAGGGGATTACCTTCTTGGGAAGGAGCCGCTGGCGCTGCCTCACCCTCTTCTGCGAAGCGCTTGCTTTCTTCAAAGCAGGTACCTTGGCTGATATAGAAGCAGCCGACATCCACAAAACTCACCGTTACATGGAAAACTATAATGGTGCCATGATGCCTTTTAAAGCGTTCGCTTTCATAGCTTCGGCTGCTGCTAGAGCTTGCGCTACGATAGGAGGCACTTCAGGTGGAATCATGGCGACCGCAACGGGGTGCCACCAGGATAGGAAGCAGAGAAGAAGCATGAACATTTTGTAGAAAACCCAGGTTAGTAGAAAACCCTCAAACCTTTGAACCCTATATTAAACCTCTAATTAGCTGGAGAAGTCCTTCTACGTTATAACATGAAGATGCACGAGCAAATGTGCAACAATCATGATCATGTGCAAGAGCAGCTTGAGAAAGCATACATGCCATGATTTTTCGAGGTTGTCAAACAAGATGCAGCAACTGGAAACCATAAAAATCATTAAGATTTTGGAGCCTCAAAACCTCAGTGCCTGAGAGTCACGCGAGAGTCACGCTTGAGTCACGGGTAAACAGGGCGGTTCACGAATCCCTCTTACTGAGCTATGAGGAGCCCATGTACCAGAGTCACGCCAGAGTCACGCCATAGTCACGGTAGAGTCACGCTAGGGTTTCTTGTCCAAAAACGTTGAAACGCATAGGATTTTCCGAAAAAAAACAACAACATTGTAATATATAAGCTTTCTTTCAAGCCATGTTTTCGCAAATTGCCCCCTGATGCCTTTAGACATTTCTGAGCAAAGCCTATTTCCTGAACGCTCTAGAACATGAATACATAATAATACATTCCTCGAACCCCCACTGATCAGGAATTGGAACATGGTGGCACACCGAAGAGAATCTTCGAGCCTTGCTTGCAATCCACTGGATTTCGAGGGTCTGCGCCAGAGTGACAGACAATTTTTCTAGCAGCAGGTGTATAATATAAGTGCTGGATCCTCTCGAATTGACCATCGCGTGGTAATTGGGACTGGCAAGGCCAAATTAAGACCATACATGCTAGCACACCAGCAGTAATTACCTTAGTCTAGCGGGAAAAGCGGCTTGAAGCGCCCCGCAGACTGCTCCTGTTTCAGGAAGTCTTTCACATCTCCGAGCTCTGCGTGCTGCCATTCGAGTGGTGCAGCAACCTGGAGATTGAAGATTTTAAGAGTGTGTGGGTATTAGCTTAGATCTATAGTAGGGTATAATTATTGATCAGAGTGTGTACTGGGTTATATTGATACACGCAATTTTGGTGGCTTTGGGAGGGTGTCTTCGGAACAATTCTCGATTCAGTCATATCACATCATGGATTACCTGCGTTAAGTAATTATAAAAGATACCTATCTTATAATTATGATCATGATGGACCAATATTACAACAAGCCATATAAATTCCTAGATGTGGTAGGTATAGGAGTCTTAGCTTATAAAATCAAGATGGTCAAGTAGCTGGGGGCTGAAGTTCCGCCAGCTTAACGTGGCCTTGCTCGAGCCGCTGCTTCATCTTGTGTCCATGCTTTTCCTGATCATCATGACAGTACGTACAACTACCGGTACATCGGTAGGACGTATTAGCTAGCTTTATGGGGTTGATCATGATCAAGGCTTAGGTTGGGTACTGCCCCCACTCGAGTTGGGCTAGTATGTACTATACCTGTATACCGTAATTAAACCGTCATAGGAGCCTCTATATATTCATATAAGAGCATGTATATCTAGTTATACAGACTATATTGGGGGCAGGACCCAAGGTTTATAAGGGCATAATTACTACAGGGTTTTAATAAAGGGAAGCTAATTAGATCAGCTGAGACTCCACATACCTCAAGTGAAGCCGAAGAATCTTGCTGCAGAATTTCCGAGGGTATTCCTGCGTGAGCTTCAGAAATTTGCCTCCACTCCTGAGTCGAGCTTTGATCTATATCCTGTGCTAGACTGCACTGTACACATGTGCAAGCTGCCAATATATTGGAGCAAGTGACACCGTCTTGCGGCCATGTTTGTTCACACCCTTGACCACTACACCATCCGAGGACAATCCCAGCTGAGAACGCTTCTTGGAAGTCAGACGCCGGGCCAGCTTTGGAATGAATCCCCTTGGGACAAGCACTTCGATAATTAGCTATAGGGTTATTATTATACATTTATTATAATAGGGTATAATATAGTGTAGATATATGGGTTTGAAATGAAATTAGGGGGAACTCATGTAATTATAGAGAAATCTACGAACTTTGTGGGGCTAGGACATGTGGGACAATTACCCCGAAACCCAGAGAAGTATGTGCTACGACGTGATCAATGCCCAGGTACAAAGTGCCGTAGGCATAGCTGCCCTTGCAAGAGAAGTGCCCATACAGGCCCATCCAACTTAGCTAGACTCATGATTGCATGCAGGGTTCTGTGGAGGATTTACGTATGCATACCCAGTCTGAGGCTGTAGCAAGAATGTGCGATGTACTGGGACAAACTTTCGGAGGACTTTTTTGATGTGTTGATAGTAGATCAAGCGCTCCATCTTGGATGACATCGGCTGCTCCAGCAGGAAATAGCATTGCCGGACTGTAATGAGGAGGATCAGCAAGCAGACGCGTGCTGCAAGCCTTAGATTGCACTCGAACAGAAAAATCCTCAAGTAGACTTATCATAGCACATGAGCTCGAGTAGACCGAAGCTATAGGTAGGAAGTCTGATCAGCCCAGACTCGTGTTTGCCTGCCTCACGTACTCCAAGTCTTCTCGACCAAATGGCTCTTCCAGTGTCCGTTGGGACGTTGCTGAATTCATATACACAAATGAACTGCATGGCAAACCTATGGTCGCCAAGCCTTGGGGGGCCATTTTCAGGATGGAACGCACTGCGGATATGAATCCACACCTGGGTCCAAGCTGCAAGAATGCGCTGCTCCTGACCGCTAGCTTGTAGTGTATCCCTTTGCAGATCAGTAGCGTAGACAAAAGATTGTCATTTATCGGCCGGCTTCGGATTTCCATATATTCACTGAGATGTCATCAGACCAAGCGATGTGCACATGTTGCATTGATGATGATCACTCCACCACACGTGTGCAAAGAAACATGTTTGCAGCCTAGCCACCTGCGGTACCCAGCCAAGCCTATAAAAGGATCACTTGACCGAAAACGAGTTCACTACTTTAATTAAATAGTTGGAAGCTAAGGATGGAGCAGTACTCTCGCTGCATGTTGCGGCATCCGGCGAAGACATCGAAGTGGAATCTATCCTGGCGCGGAGGCAGGATAAATTATATATATATACACGAATGAACTCGAGAATAGATTTTTCCAATTCTACTCGAATGCTGATTGGTCCCGAAAGCTCATACTCGGAGGGGAATTCTGCGAAACATAGTCAGCAACATGGATCCTTATAGCACAGGGTTACAGGGTTGATTGTGATAGTTGCATGCAGCACATGCAAGATTACATAATTTTCCAAGCAGCAAGACCGGGTCAGCTGCCATCAGGAGCAGCAAGGATGCTGCTGAGGTGCTCAAAGCCAGCGGACTTTTCCGCATCCACTCATGAGCAAACGCATGCGCAGCCATCATGAAACTCGAAGGTATAATTTATTTGCCGTGGCAAATGTGTTCTGCGTCCGAACTTTCGCATTCATTCCCCTCAATTGCAAGGAGCCATCTAGAGTTATATGCGTGTAGCCCACGTGATTGACCATGTGCGTTGTACCAAAAAACTGCAAAAAATCAGCACACTCTCTCGCCTGCACCTTGTACATGTACAATGCAATATGTCAGCCTGACATATTCTCAATCGCGCTTTTTGCCATGAATGTTGCCAGCACACCTGACTCACGGATCTTGTAGACCCCAAAATCACCATTTAGGTGCGGGCACGAACAGGACTATACACTATCAGCCCCGAATCTTTCTAGACCTCTTCTTGCGGCGCACGCGCTTGCTCGCCTTGACTCCTGCCTCAGGCTCTACATCTGCTGCAGCTGCCGCCGCCGACGGCCACTCTGGATTAAGCCAGCGTGCAAGCTTCTTCGCCACTCGAAACCTGAGATTGGATCAGCTAATATAGAGCCTAGAAAAATCACCTGGGCCCATACAAGTATATTACAATGATAAATCTGGCGTACACATAGAGGGATCCCTATAGCTAGATTATAGTAGTATAATATAATAATACAAACCACTCACGTAAGTCACAGACCTTTATAAACCCTGAAACCCTTTTAAGTAAAACAATTTGCGAACCAGCCACACGTCCTCGAGGTTTGAAACATCCCCCTTCGTCCAAGACAAGCTCACACCACCAACGTTATTCACCTCACATCAAACCCACAATGCGCATTTGTAATGTGGAATTAAATGAGTCCAGCAATCCAACCTTGATCGGCAGCGTCTCATACTCTCTGACCTCAATAGCTCGATCCTCACCAACTCCAGCGATGTAGAATGAGCCTTGCAGCCTCAGAACTCCAATGGGATGCATTGCCACGTTACGTACACATACTAGACAAAATTGGGGTTCATTTTTTGCAAGTCAGCAGCTGCACACCTATCGTGCTCGCTTCCGGGCCATACTCCTCGATGACACGAATGGCTGGCTTGATGGTAAAGGACCTGAGCATATGGGCAGATCTGGGGTCAGTTAAATATTTACAATGCAGCTCAATCGAATGTCGGAAAGTTGATGACCAATTGAGTTGAGTTGCGTAATGTCCGCGGTGTCCTTGGGCACGATCATGCTCTTGTCCAGCGGCTCGTACTTACGCAAGTCTCTCAGGACCCGCTCTTTCACATCCTTATAATGTTGCGAGCACTTTATATGTCATATGAAATTTTAAAATTCAGCCGAAAGTCTTCAACTCGTTTCCTTGACTTGGGCATGGGGTTGTTCTCACCATACTTGATAGGCGGCTTCCGCTTGTGGGCCAGGGACGGAGTCCACCCAGTTGGCTTGCGCGCAGCCTCAGGTTAAAGTTGCAAGAGGTAGGTGCCATATATGGTCAAAACCGGAATTATTTTTGATCATTGAAACAAGACACCCCGCCATCCTCATCATCAGCATCTTCATGGCCATGATCATCCTCACAAGCTTTCGCCTGGACATTTCGCCGCTTTTTCCTGGCCTTTTTCTTGGGTGACGGGGTGACGACCTGTTCATCAAGCTCCATAGCAGCCATAGCAGCTGCGGAAGCATCATCTGCATGGGTAGCCTGAGATGCGTAAATAAGGAGCACACATTACTGCGCGGACAACAGTGTACAGATCTAGCCAGCTAGCCGAGGTAGAAAAAATGCAACCCAGTAGCCCACCACTCCATCTCCTCGCGCTCTTCTGGGCCAGCCTCATCACTATTATCTTCATCGAAGTTCAGGCGGCGCCTGACATTCTGCGCAGCACGATCACTCTTGGCTGCACGTGCAGCCACTTTCCTTTTCTTCTTTGCAGGATCCGGTTCTGCTCGAACCTCTTCCAGCATCGTTTCCTCTTCCTTTTGCAGCTCAGCTGCCTCACTAATTACGTCATCATCCTCACGATGCTTCTCTTGCTTGCCCTTGCTCTTTGCTTTCGCTTTGCCTTTTGCCTTTGCCTTCGCCTTTGCCCTTTTCTTCGGGGAGGGATGCTCATGATCATCATTCTCACCTGAACGCGCATTCTTGCGCAGTCGTCGCTGCGCCTGGCCCAGTGCAATACACAAATTCGAAGTGCGCACACTCTAGCTTATAGGAATCAAAAGTGCAGGGGATCCGGCCTGAAGTAATTCCATCTCATCATCATTCGATTGAGCTTTCAAATCAGATATCGTCTGCTCAGCTTGCAGCATCAGCTTTGTTGGAACTTCCGGCACGACCGGCGTGAGAGCCTTCCTGCCCTCCTCCGGGTTTTAATGATCATGAAACATTTTTTAAAGCTGTTGGCACTCGAAATCCCAGCAACATGTGATCATATATGGGTCCTCAACATCGGTAGCCGCCACAGAGGTGGATTCGCAAGCAGGATGGTCCCCAACTTTCCCATGAGCCTCGAAATAATCACATGTATTCACGCATGAGAGTTCAACACAACTATCATGAATCGATCATCATGATGCACACTCACCTTGGCTTTGGGGCTTTTCATCTTCTTCGGAGATGGGCTAGTGGATGTCAGCGACTGCAAACTGGTTGGACGCGTCAGAGGTTTCGCCTGCGTGCCATACAATTATTAATTATACGTTTCAACAATAGTTGCAATCTTGCTGCGCCGATCCTTGCGCAGCTTCATGCCATCATCATCAGAACGCGCACCAGGCTGGGCCTCGATGAGTCATGTAAATTAATTACGTTTAACAGGGCTAACCGACAGAACATGCTACGTTAGCTTGTACAATTCCGGCCAAGTAACTACATCTTCGGGATCTGTCGGCCCAGGTGGCACTTCATCGACTCTCTCCTCCATGAAACATTGGATTTTTTTGGAATTCCTCATAACACCGGCAGCACAGGCGCAGTACAGAATGGCTTATCCTGATCCAGCATAGGGCGATCCGACACACCAGGCTCCTCCAGGAAAACGAGATTGAATTCGCAATCACACATGTGCAATGACCCTCGGTCCTCTAGCTGATTCTGATCTCGGTGATCCAGGCGACCAGGCTCCTTTAAAGAAATACACACGCGTCAAGTCTAGTGGCACACACATGTACAACTATTGCAATTCAGAAGCCTCTAGCTGATTCTGATCTCGGTGATCCACGTGACCATAAGGCTCCTCATGATCAGGGCAAACACATTACATAATTTATACTGAATTTAATTTCGAATGTACAACATGACGATCACCCTCCAGCCTCTGCTAGCTGATCCTGATCTGCGTGAATCAATGGACCACCAGGCTCCTGAATACAACTAGGTAGAATCGAACGTTTTACAAAAATAATGATATATTGCAATCTAGACTACTCGAACATGCACTGTGCCTTTTCCTGAACCTGCTCTGCAGCAATCTCCGTAGGGGTAGCAGTCTCCTGAATTGCTAGACGCGCAAGCACGAAAAAATGCGTTGCCACAAAATAGGTATAAAGCTCCTTCGAATCTATCCACGGCATATCTGCTGCGACCCCTTCTGCAGCTTCAGCATGGCCAGGGTCCTGGCTGAACGGATCAAATATGAAGGTGGGTGAGGGGTGTACATGGGTCATATGCGGAATCTGGGCCTCGGCTCGAACCAACTTTCCACCATCCATCCCCTAGCTAGCAGCTACGACAGACACCACAATTCAGATAAACACATGTTCAATCATGACTCGAAGAATTCCGAAATCATGCAAGCAAGCCACCTCACCTATATCACTTTCTTCATCATCAGGCACAAATATGGGTTGGGCATGCGGACGAACATAAATCACTTCGACGCCATCCTCAAACATCTCATTGAAGCCTCATGATCAGGAACTCATAATAAACATGTACACTGCAATGATCGATATGCCACACCATTTTATCAAGGGCCCAAACCCGGATCCAAGGCAACCTGCGTCTCCATGTTGTCCGTGCACATAGCTGGCTGCTGGGAATCCTTCTCGAGGTCCTCCTCAAGTAAATCGTTTTCAAACCACTTCCATAATCCATATTCATCATCATGATCCCCGTATATCCTTGGAGGAAGCTTTCGTATGCTTCACGATGTTTTTCAAGTAGCCCATTCTAGCATGGCCTTGCCTGAGTTCAGCGAGGTCATGGACCAAGGACAAATTTCGAAGCTATATGTGTTTGGCACATTCCTTGCAACCGCATCTGGCCTGGGCCCATCATTTTGGGCAGCTCGTCTCTTCACGTAAGCGGCAAGTGCCCGGTGAAGCCCAGCTTCTGT